TGGATCTGACCGTCGGGTCTGTTGGGGAGAAATGATGATTTATGAGACAGTGTATAAGCATGAAAATAAGGACTTTTGTGTAGACGAGGGGGACAGTTCGAAAACGACTCAAGTTGTCACCCATACTTATTTGATATAGAACGCGAATTTTTTCATTCATTCGGGATATGGGGTATTATTTGGGTAGGAGGAAGCCAACTGTACCCTTTGAAGTCCGCATAACCGTCATCTGCGACTGTCTCAGACAATGCAATCAAACCGGAATCCAAAACGAGGCACCATGTTTCAGCGATCGCATTTTCTGCTTCTTCTTTTTCTTCTTTGGAACTGCTTCCTGAAACGCGCCTTTTTGATTCTATGCGTTCATTATCTAATTGAGTGCTTCACACCTCACGACATTATCGGCTTATCGGTGCGTTTAAACACCCATTAACAAAAATCGATCACAAATATTCCTCTTCAGACAAAGGAGTTTGAGTCATCGAATTTTTGGCTCTGTCGACGACGCCTATCGCAATATAAATAACTGTAAGTACCAAACTAAAATCCTTCTTTGGTTTAGGTATCGAGAGTGGATAAGACGGAATTCTACATAAAATATGTGTCAGGAGTGGCATTTTAATGTGTCTTTTGCTATTCGCTGGGATACATTTATGCAGGTACTGAAAGTCGGCGGAAAAACTACAAGTTACTTCAGGAACGTTCCATAACATGTGCAATTCAAATGAGGTGAATTGCAGCCAGAGAAAGTATTCTACTGAAGATTATGACTTCGAGAAACTCACTCGCATATAGATTTAACCCTGAATGGAAGCGAACATTTCAGTCCCAGGTTCTTGTTGCAAAGAAGTTGAACAGACGAACACTAGGACAGTGCATGCATTTTTCTGTGCTTTGGGTCCTGTACAGCAGGCCATCATCAGAGTCATCTAACGAACATCACCTCATCGCCATTTCCCATAACCCGTCCCTCATCTTCGCTGGACTACAAAAACCGCTCATTTGTTGTTGCACGCTCGCGCTCACTGACGATAGTCTCCTATGCGAGACCAAAATCTCGGACAAATGCATGTTCTGTCACAGTGACGCAAACATATCGATCAATGTTACCCGAGTTTCAACGCTTACTGTACATTCCATAGGCAGGGGTGTGTTTTTCAGCACATCCTCCGTCAGTAGTTCTGTGCGTATGGGGCTGATGCCAAGAAGCATTAAACAGCAACTAAACCCAACTTTCCGCCCCGCTATAGCACCCGGGAATAGCCCGGAATAGCGCGTGCACATTCTGGTCGCGGCAGAAATGGTCCAGAAACGAGTGAAGGAAGGGGCTTTGTTTTAAGACAATTAGTCATCCAACCGCACGAGGGGGATAAAGCATGCCCCCAAAAGCAACTCTTACTTCACCACGGTGTTGTACCAAAGCCATCCGGCGTCGTTCCAGTCGCGGTAGAGCATTTGGTAGCTGCCCAGTCGCCGAAGAACTGGAGGTTTCATGGCTAACGACTCGTTTTCGGGACATCCGAGTTCGTCGGCCCAGGTTAGACATTGTTGGATACCGTCGCACCTCTGCGAGCGCGCGTAGCACTCCTGCCCAGTGGTGGAGTAACAGGGCAGAGCTCTGGCCGGATTTTCAGTTTCATTGCAGGTGTCTGCAGTGCAGCAAGAGGCACGAAGGCGAGATGTGAAAGCATGTTTTTTTTCAATAAATACTGAAGTTTAGTGATGATACCCATTAAAGCATTCAAGAAGTCAAGATAGGCGAACAGAACGTTTTCGATTTAATTCATCTCAGGCGTGTACAATAATATAAAGGGGGTAGAGTTAGCAAAAGTTTAAGCAACCAATCAGCGGTATTTGAAGTTGCAAAAATTCTCATCGGAGTAGTTGGCGAACTTACGTAAGCCTTCGATAAATTCTCATTGGGTCAGTACATTTATATAGGAAGGAGGTAACAGTTGAACGTGTGGTCAAAAATGTTCGCCCTGGAAATAGAGCTGGCTGAGAATGCTGGTTACGCGGCGGCGAGGGGTGTTGTGGAGCCAGTCCAAGGGGAGGAGAGAGCGTGCGGCGGAGTGCAGTTAAGTGACCCTTGGCCATACCAGGCGCAAGTGAGCATACGTAATTTGGCAT